GATTAATGTATGTGATATATCATACCAATCATATTCAGATAGTCAAATATGGGAAATTTATAATTAAAAGAATGATAGTTTCCTTAACAGTCAATAACTGGATAGTTGACTTTGAAAAATCAATAACATGGATTTGATACGTGACTTGACAGTACATTAGCTAGCTTACAGTACATAAGCAGAAGATTTAACTATACTATGTAAATTTTATTGCATGTATTATAGCCAAATTTTGTTTTAATTCCAGTTGTTCTATTACTTTTCAACGGATCTTTGCCTCAGAAACATAAATTACTTAAATCAGTGCTATTAACTAGCTGTGATATTATTATTTGTTTAATTTCTCTACTTTATGTATTCTAACATTCGTAACTCATGAAGAGTCCTATTTTGAATTTCCTTGAAATTTGATAACTGTTGTAGCCTTGTAAAGGCTATGTTCCTCGGGCTATGCTCAGTTTCCTTAATTTAGTTCTAGAGAAATTAGGTATTTTTGGGAAGCAGGCAAAATAAAAAGTGAGCAAACGCCTTCGCCGGGAATCGAACCACGGACCTCTGGAATACCGGACCAGTGTGCAGACCACCATACCCCGAAGGCACGCCAAAAAGGTGGGAGAAATACCTTATATAGTTTCTGATTAGTTAACAAATATGAATTCTGCCTCTGAATAACATTCGCCTGTGTGTTACCGAAACTGATCTTTGAATTCTCAGTACTCTTAGACTTTAGGTATGCATGTATTCATCTTATCCTGCAAGTTAGTGGGACTTGATTTCCTGTTACCAGAATACAGCTTTTCAGATTCATTACTACTTTCAAATTTCATGCGCGAGCCGAAGTTGAGAGTAAGAAAAGCCGGATATTTTTTGTCTGAAGGTTCTAGGAAGTTTGCATTTAATTTCATCAACAGCGAAAACTTCCTAGAATAGTAAAAGATATGATCAAGCACAAAGTGCGTTAAGCTTGAAATAAAAACCTCCATAACTAACATGGTTACTAAAGCCATTAAGAGTAGCACTTTAGCGATATAACTGCTGAAAAACCTGTTCTTATTCCTGCATGATTTCAAAAGAATGAATTTGGAACTTAATTTTTTATCAGATGTATGACAGAATAAATTAAGAATCCCTATTTTACAAACTCTATATCCGCAGGTTTCAAGTGTTTTTATCTCACTTTCTCCTTTTCTGCATTTGTCAGATATCATCTTCCCCCAAGATTCTTCTATTCAAGTGGTGCATTCCGTATAATATGTTAAACTGAAAATATATCATTTTAGCTTGCAGTAAAGGAAAATATAACTCTATGGCACGCATGGGAAAAGGGCGATAATTCCTTACAATTTTTTATTGGTTTGCTGGGCTTACATGAGGCCAGTAAAGCTTTTGAGCTCTTCTCGTTGAACTTTCAGCCGCATCGTAGGTAAAACTGTAGAGACATTAGGTTATTTCGAAGTCGAAGAGATGAAAAATGAGCAACGCCTTCACCAGAACTCGAACTACGGGCCTCTCGAATGCGCAACGAGCGTGCTGACCACTACACTACGAAGGCGAAAAAATACCTTATACTACTTGCTGCGAGCTGTTGTTTACAGTTTGATTCTATGACTCTGAAGTCACTCAAATTTCTGTTCTTTATTTGTGAAATTCTCACTTTTCGTGTAAATTATCCTCTGACTGAGAGCTTCTATACTAGATATTTTTGTTTTTATTGATTATTTTGCTCCAACTTGTTTAACTAAAAAATTTGATAGGGGTGAACGATATTTTTGAGGATATTATGGTTTCAGTAACTGCGCCCTTAGAGAGATTTAAAGAAATGAAAAAGAAATTGTTTTCTCATTTTACTGAAAAGTAAATTTTGATCACAAGAGTGTAAATTACATGGATTAGGAAACGTGTATTTAATTTCTGTGTAAATAAATGTGTATTTAATTTAATGATGTAAATAACAATGAAACAAACAGAGGGAATGTTTAAAAAGTAAACACCCAGGTCGTTTTGATTGTCGGCTTATCTGTTTCTAATACGAGTATATGGCCATATTAAATGTGTCGTATCTGATAATATTGTATATTTAAAGGGACAAACTTCAATTATTTTTTATACAACGTGTTTGTCTTTATTGCAGGTATAAGCTAAAATATTTGCATTGTGTTTGGATCGATGGCTATATTTTAGATGTAATAGAGCTGGAATTTCGATATATTTTAAGAAAAATTGTGAAACCTATTCGACATATCAAGATGCATCATGCAGCAAATATATATTTTGCTAGTATAATTAATCCTGTAGTTCAGAATGCTTCAGCATGTCTTTACCAGGTATCAACAGCTCGAAATCATTCAATCAAATCCGTTTAATTAACTATAGCTAGTAGCGGCATTTGTCATATCCAGACATATCGTAATCTCTTAAATCGATCTTTTCCATTCGCGGCAGAAATTATGAACCGTTACTTGATAAAATACTTCATTCTGAATCTGCGCTGACTTTATCTACGTTTCATCTTATCTAAGCTAAGCATGGACGTCTCCACCCTTATCTAATGATAGTGTAGGAGTCGAGATAATCCAGGTTTGTCTGTAATCTTCTTTCTTTCATCTCTTGCTAATGAGATGTCTTCTCCTGAACTGGTTGAATCCCGAGAGGTAGTTTCACTGTTACAAAAGATGTGAACATTGCAGCATATAATATATATATATATATATATATACATATACAAGTAATACATATATATATATATATATATATATTATTACTTGTATGTGTTATTAGAGAAGTCACCCTTTTGAAAGAATCGTTACGAAATAGAAAAGCTTTACGCGACAGTATGCATTTATATCTGCGCTTAGTGATTCATAATACAGATTACGGAGTCCTTCGATATTTGAAATATTTTAAATTAAGAACTAAATTTTCGGTATGAGAGTCGGATAATACTAGCAAATTTTACTAGTCAAAAGTACTGTTCGAAAATTGCTATGAAGTAAAGTTAAGTTTATACTGAATTTTGTTTATATTCAACAAACTGATATAGTTACACTAAGTAAAACTTCAAACAATTTAAAATATTACAATAGTTTGTTTACACTAACAGAATCGTAATACGTAAGGCTTAATGTTATTTTCAACATACAGTAAATTATAGCAGCTCACACTTACAAAATTATAATTTTCGCTTCTTCGGCTCGCCGAACATTTAATTTTTTTGTTTCATGTAAATACTAGGAAACTGATTGCACATGAAAATATCGAGGTAAAACATCATGGATGAAATCGGTGTAGAGAAATAAGGTGAAATTCGTTGTATTCGGTATAGAAAAAGAAGCATCGCAATTATAAAACACTGCGCTGTAAAACAATATGTCATAAAAAAAAGAGCAGCAAAAGCTTCGTAGTTTTGAATCTTTGTTGCACAAAATGTCGTGGTAGACAGTAACACACCTAGAAAACTTAACAGAGAGGTTTTCAGGAGACAGATGTTTTCAGGTTTTAAAACTTTCATGGTTGCAACGGGTAATGATTTGCGACCACATGAAAAAAATCAAGAATTTATTTACCAATTTCAATTTATATTCAGATTTGTTTGACTAACTGATAATTTTAACTGAAAAAAATCAAGAAGGAATCTTAAGAATCCAAAGTCAAAAACTGAGTAGAAACTGTGATTTTTTACAGCAGGATAAGAGAATTTTAAATTTACGGAACAAGGTACTAAGAGTCATTATTTAATTAATTCCTTTATAAAAATTATCTGTAATTCATCATCAAAGAAAATGTAACAAGTCAGGAAAAAGAGTTCGTATTTATATTGCACGCATTTCAGACGTTAGCAATGAGCTTACAACAATACGCGGATTTTTATACACCTCTGAACATTATAACTGATGCATCATGAGAGGGAAACACAATGAAATTTAAATTTGCGTGAACGGTAGACAATTTCATGACATGCTTACAGTATACGCAAGATTAAAGACACCTTGAAAGTAGTACAGAAACCCAGATTAGAAATGCCGATTTTTCATTTGGAAATCGCTTTTACTCGTGGTTTTTTGTGTTAGATGTTGTGTTATGCCTCTGGTAACTCATGTTAGTACATCTCAGAATTCGATCGCAGGAGAAACGAAGGCTGCCGTGACTGCTGATTATCGCATTTGGAACTGCTGCTCGAGTTGCTCCAGGTTTAATGACTGGTATGAGAGTTAGCAATAGATGCACAGCTAAGAATTGTTGAAAATTGCTTTAATGACTTTAATAAACTTATTTATTCTCCTTTGAATTCATGAGAGAGAAGACTTTATATGCACAAATATTTTTTTCCATCGTGAACTAAAAAGATCTGCAAAGATAATTTGCATATTTATTTATATATGAAAATTATTATTTCCTCTAAAGCCGTGTTTCTTAACCTGTGGTTCATGGACCCCTTCGGGGTCCATGTGTCATATTTTGGGGTCCGCCGTCTGCTCCTAATTTTTAAAATGTTTGCATCAATATTTAAAAAAAAACTTTTTTTGTCACGGGCAACCTCTGTAAGCCGTCTGTCTGCCATTTCCCAATAATAGAGGCCTCCACAATACGATGAAAAGAACATTCGCAAACCATATAAATTTGAAATTTTTAGAAACACAAAGTAGCCATTTGAATTTTTACTTCACTTGGAAGTAAAGTGACGTTAAAATCAGTTCCGCAAAGTTCTTGCCAATTTTTAATTTTAATTTCTTCAAATATTTTATATATTGAAATAAAAATATTAAAATAATTAAATCATAAAGCAGAATATATTTGTAATTAAATGTATTTTTAAGTGGTTTTTTTTGTCACTTAGATGGTCCGTGGCATATTTAAAATTTTTAAAGTGGTTCATTATGCCAAAAAGATTAAGAAACACTGCTTTAAAGGGAACATTTTATTGTTTAGGAACAAAACAGTCTTAATCTAATCAAACTCACGTTTACCACACGTAACATAAATTAAGAAATATCTTGCCTTACCTGTGCCTTGATGCTGCGTTGTAGCTGTTACTCCGTAGTCTGAAAGAAAGAAAGTTCACTTATGAAAGAATTCAACTGAATTATCACGTAAAACATGAAGTTCGGAGTTTATAAATACTGTACTAGATTACTTTACTACATCGTCAGTTTTTACTGATGTTTCTACTTATTTATAGCGTGCCAAAAATTTAGCCACAATTATGGAAATGATGAATTTCTGAAAATCCATTAATAATATACGGGTAATATACTGCCTTGTAGAGATTAAGCTCGAGGTGCAAGTTTTTAATGAGCAAGTGGGTCAATGGAATTAAGTAGGAGCACTTAATATTGTCGTGTATGAGAATATTCAAATAGCAAATGATGTGTCCGAAAATTGTAGCTCTTTTTGTAAGGTGATAACTGGCAATACGTTTCCTTGAAATGGATGTCTACCAGTACCATGAAACAGCAGTTCAGTATCTGAGGATTGTGTGTTCGGCAGGTGCGCCTTTAAGCGTTAACTCCTAGGGGTTATGATAAAAATGGTATCGTTAGTATGCCACTTGAAAATAGTACAGTAGCGCGATATAAGTTCAATGCATAAGCCAAGATTTGCCCTAGAATCTAACAGTCAATGTATCAGGTTCCAGAAAAGAAAGGAGAAACATAATAAGGCTAAGTTTCTGAGCAGATCATGGCAGTCTGCGCTGCGTTAATGAGTCCAGAGTTTCATTTGATGAACGGTAATGACAGTTTAGTGGACGGGTGCTTCGAAAGGGAAGGCATTATTCCATGACCAGAGTATTCTCCAAACCTCAATCCTATCAATAATCTTTTAGGGTGACTTTTGGAAACGCTGTCTCTGTATATGAATTCCCTTCAACTTCTACATACTTCAAGAGTTCAAGCTGGCCTTCTGTAAAATGGCAATTATTTGTCACTGATGCATGGATCATCGATGGAATAAGTAAACCATCAGCCTGAAGTTTGTTTCAAAGTTACGGGAGGTTTTATCCACTGTTAAAGGCCATTTCTTTTATCTATACATCACTCAAAACATTTTATTGAAAATGTTAACAAGGGGAAGGTCTTTCAACCTCAGTTTTCATTGCTTGCGAAATATATGTACATAAATCTGCTTTGCTTATTTAAAACTATTTCTTTCTAAAATTTATTTGCTGAGTTACTGAATTCAGGAAGTTATAGAAATATAAACTTATTTTGGTATGCAGCATTATTTTACGACTTTTCAAAACTTCAAAGTGCTCTTTTCCAAATGATACTCATTGGTCTCAAACTGATCGGTTCTTGGAAAGTAAATACAAATAATCAATAAACAGGTAGAACTCTAATTTGAAAGTATTTTCTCATCTATCAATTTTACTTAGTGTAGCTGTTATTTAGGATACATGTTTATTTCATTCGGTTTATCCTCACACGTTACACAATTCATGCAGAAAGGAGTGCATTTTTCTTACTAATACGTGTTATTGTGATAGATAATATGAAAAGTTAAACAGAATTGAAGTAAACTTCAATCTTGAAAAATGTGAATGGAATGCACTTACATTCAGAAAAGTGCCTCATAAGGAATTATATTAATACAGTAACAACGCTACATACCTCATATGAATATCGTTCATTACGGATTAGTCGTGATGCACAACCGAAATGTAGCAGAATATTATCGAACTTTGTATGAATTTTAGATTACCCGTATTTATCAAATTAAATTAAAATACAAGTTTGACAGTTATACACTTTTAGTAGCAAATTCAAATTCCATCGTGTCAACAGTTTATCTTTAGGTAAACATATGTAAGCATTTAACAGGAAGCATTAACATATATGTAACACAACTTTATTCATAATTTGACTTAAAAATACATTGTAAATTTCGTGAAATATTTGAGAACAAAGGGATTTTGTAGAAAAAATGAAAACTAAGTAATTAGTAAGCAGACATTAAAGAAAATAGTATGCAATCATTGACATAAAGTAAAACAAATTAGCTTCTTCACTTCTAAGTGTAGGCTGTGAATTTCGTAAAACGCCGAGAGACGTTTCAGGTGAAAACAGTAAAACCATCGGAAATAAAGCTACATTCAAAACGTCGTCCACACCTTGTCTAGAGTTGGTTTTTGAGGACGAAACACTTTAATTTTTTTTCCGCGTTATGTGTAGAGATTCATCATCTAATTTTAATTGATATCTTTCTTTCCCATTGTGTAGAATACGTTTCATGTTTTTAAACTGATTTAACATTCCTGGTTTAAAAATAGATCATTGTGAGAGTGAATTATGTACTTAGAAGGATAAAATATATGTAAATATACCTTCTTTAGTTTTATAAATGTACTCATGAAGAAATGATTTAAACCTGGATTCGTTCAAAGCATAGAGTTTTGCATTATGTCCACTTTTGGCCTTATGCTTCATTCTTAAAAGTTAATTCATAAAGCAGAAGAACTATATTCTAGTGGAATGCTATATGCCTATAATAAATTATTTTTGATAAAATATTATATGCCTAGAGTAAAACAGCTGCATTGAAATGTGTTTTCGATCAGCGAGAAACATTTTACTTCCGTTCGAGTGCAAAAATAGTCTCTTTCGTCTCAGAAACCATTTTAAAACTTGTATTTATTTCAAAAGGTATATGACAGCAGCAATAGTAACCTTTTGAACCTGTCATTGGAAGGTGATTTATTATTCCAATTTTCAGCTAAACGGAAAGTTTTACATTTGTAACGTTTTTCTTAACTTCCGTTTGATGGATGCAACAATTCCGTGATAAGTGGTTAAATTATAAGACATATTAATGGTTTGCTACTTTAATTACGAACAGAAATAATGATGATGGCTATGCTGTCTTCAAAATGTCTTTTGTAAATTAAGAAAATTACTATGTAATTAAAATTTTAAAAATAATAAACTTTGTGGTATAACAAACCAGTGATTTCTTTAGCATAAGAATTACAAAATATCTCTCACCTGTAACGAAGCGATAAATTGCTCTAAAGCCTTTCACTTCCGGTGACGAATGATAACTTCTGAAATCCAGAACCAATGATGGACCGTTTGACATCAGTTGCCTAGGCAGTTTGTTGCCGCAGAAGCTTTCCAACCTTTCTCTGCGACCGTTTATGGTAATGAATATCATCACCGCATCCACAGATTCGCAGCTACAAAATGGTACACGTTAAATCAGAATTCAACAAAAACTCTTACGAAATAATAACTTTATTACCTTGTATATATCCAATATATTTTAACTTTAAATTCAAAGGATATATATAAACACCCAATTTCAAATTTAAACAAAATCTTCATATTTTTTTCAGAGTAATTGTATCTCCACAAAATTAAAAATATTTTTAAATGATATTTAAAAATTTCGTGTGGATTTTTAGGCACACTAATTGAGATATCAGTTTTCCCATAAAGTAAATATATACTAAGCTCATGTTTTGGTAGATATATTGGGAACAACTCAATTACCGACATGTTCGTGTATAGGAAACGCTTCCGTCTAATAGAAAGTACTTCTAAAAATATCAATTAAATTATGTATTCAAAAAGCATCTTCATGCTGTTTCGTGCAGTCAGAATAGTAGCGCAAGAGAAAATTGTAAAATAGGATTATTTTTCAACTCAAAGGAACTTATCACTGTTTCTCTTCTCTCATTGTGTTGTAGAGTTCCTCACTTTTATTCTACTAAATGTCGAGGAACCTAATGAAATGTTAACCGAATTATCGCTTAGTTCAAATAACAGAAATCGTAAACTCAAGAAAAGTTAACTACCCTTTATTTCCCTCAAAATAAGATGAACAGTCGGCCCATTTCTTCGGGCTTACAATATAACCTCCACTCTGGCTTAAAAATAAGAAATAAACACTAACTATGTCTAACTAGGACATTTAGCCGAAGCTAACACAAATCTAACGTAGTTGGCCCTTAAATTTAAACTAGCTGACGCCTATCAAAAAGGCACGTAATATACAGCTGAGCGTAACAACTTCTGTAAACTTAGCCCAAAAGTAAACACGCGCTACTCAGGATTCCCAGCTTTCTCTCTCGAAGTTGAACCTTCCTTTAATACTACTTCTTACTCATTTGCATTCAACGCGATTCTAAAACCTCATTCTGGTTTTGAATAAAGAGAGGAACCATTAAATTACATAATAATATACCTAACTATCAGGTTCAATGTTTCTTCTAACCTTCTTCGGAAACATACAATGACCTGACTAGAACAGAGAGCTTACTAAAGCTATGTTCACTAATTGTAGTAAGTAGACAGGATACAGACGAAGGGTATACAAAACCCTTTATTTTTTCTTTATATACAATGACTTCCGTACTTCGGAATACAATGACCCTCCACTCGGGGTCTAACTTAAAAGATATCAAAATAAAACTAAACTCTAATTTAACTTTAGAATAAGATTGGCCTTATAATAACAGGAAGCGTATGTAGCACAGAGACTGTGAACACTACAATACGTTTAATTTATCAAGAGGATTAAAACCTCTGGCCTGGAAGGCAAAGTAGCAACTGCGTAACTTCTAAGGTAAGCGGCCTGCTTCGAACTCACGGCTTCCTCTCTTCTGCTTGGCAAAAAGGCCACACTTAAATACTTGGCGTTCGCCAGACAACTTTGCATAAAACTCCTTCACGCTTATAATTCTGGCCGGAAGTAGAAAATAAGAAGTGATAGTAAAGATTTAAAATAAAATAAACGTTAGTAAAACTTAAGATCCTTACATACTTCCCGCCAGAGTTAATTAGTTTGAAACTGAGGTCTAAAACGACCTTGTTGAAAACTTTTAGCTCTAGAAACTAACGCGAGGCCAACCTTTTACAATCATAACTTAGCTAGAAACTAGAAAATTTTAAAAGAAAGAAATTTGTTACAATAGCAGCTCCCGGAATATACAACAATCTTTTTTTTTTTCATCTGTACTGCATCTAAACAGGAGCTTTATTCAATTCTGGTTCCTTCCAGAGATCTGGAAGGAAAACTAGTTTAATGAAATGTTACAGAATGACATTGCAAATAACATATAGAATATACTTCTTTTCTTAACATTCTTATTTCATTCATGACTATTTTAATTATCTCTCCCCGTGCTCTCTGACATGTGTTGTAAAAGAACACCAAACACGAATGTGTTTCTGTCTATGTGTTCAACACTTCCTCCTACAATCAAAACACTAACGTGTGTTAAAATTCAACATACGAGACCTCTTAACACACCCTAATTTCAACTCTAAACCCTGAGGTACTATTCTGAAAGTGGCTAACTCTAAAGTGTAGCGTCAGAGAGCCTAACTACATCATTCAACCTTTAACACATATTCACCATGATTTAATCTTTACAGTCACACGAATAACAAATTTTTAACATTACTTTCACTTTTACCATATCACGGTATTTCTTAACATTTCAAAATAACAGTTCACATGTATACAAGAACATATCAACATGCCGTTAATTTTACACATTTGAAAACATACATTAGTAGTACATTGTTAACTTCTATTCTTTTCAAAGCAAGTGCCAATTCTTTCTACATTGAAATAATACTACATTTCAAAAAGTCTTTCAGACTAAAACTTCTTCTCTTGTTAGAATGTTTTAAATAAAATTTATACAATAACTTTTTACAATATTTAAGTCTTTACACAACGCTATTATACATCAACTTTAGTTTTACGCGCGCGAGTAATTGAAAAACATAATAAGAAAATCGGTCACAACTCATTTCTCGCCCTTTTGGCGATAAAGGTAGACCTCGCATGAGGTAAAACTTCTTGAAATCTGCCACTTGCAGTAAGAATGAAAGATTAACTTAAGTTTGCAAAGTAACATAAAATTTTACTTATCTTTGTAATATTCAGACATCCTTTTCTGGGCCCAGTCTTTAAAGGTACTGCAGACCGTAGCTTGGTTGATCCTCCTTCTTGTACGGGCTCGCCCTTCAGTGCTTTCCTCTGGAAGCTTCCGTTTTTCACCAGTACGGCCACCCTTGAACACCTTCCTTTTGTCCTCTGCTTGTGGTCTTGGCCGTTTGAAGGCAGCTGGTCTTGGTGGAACCGGGAAACTTCTGTCGTGATCCTGCTTGGACCTCGTTGTTGGCCGTTCAAATTTTTCTTGTACTTTTTTTCCTCCGCCGCTGATGGCCCTTCCGCAGTTCGGCGACTTTTGCTGCGGAGAGTTCTGTCGGATGAGTCAGATCTTCCGTTTTCACAGCCGGGTTATAGTTGCCGTCATTTCTTTCTCCCGGTCTTTCCACATACGTCGTCCTTCTCCCTTCTTCATTCTGGGGGTGTTCGTGAACTCTGTTTTTCTGGACGGTGGAACGGCTTCTTTTTCTTTTTACCTTCAATTTTTTCCGCGGGGCAATTTTCTTTTCACTTGCTTCTGTCTCTCATTGGCTTGCCCTTGTACTTGTCGTTTTTTTCCCACCTCTGGAACTTGTACCTGCGGTGTCTGCCGTGCCGGATCCTGCAAAAGATCTGAAAAGATTTGCATTTTATTACGATCGAAGTAGGGCTTTGATTTGATCAATGTTTGCGGAACAGGTTTCACCATTTCTTGGCCTTTTAACACTACAACAGCGTGAGTTATTTTTTCTATAACATATGGTCCTTCAAATCGTGGAAAAAATTTGGCAGTTTTATCTTCTGGTGCTGAAGAAAGTGAATGCTTAATTTTTAAAACTTCATCCCCTACTTTATAAGTTACTCCCCGTCGTTTCAAGTCATAATACAATTTTTTGTTTTCTTTGTGCTACTTCCGTATTCTTTTTTGCTTCTTTTATTAGTTTTTCTATATCACCCATTTTAAATTCTGGGGCTCTTTGTTGCACATAAAATAATTTATCTAACGGTGTTATAATCTTTCTGCCTAGAAATAACTCAGCAGGAGTTTTGCCCGTTGTATCATGTTTTGCGGTCCTAAGGGCGAAAGCAAATTCATTGACATAGTTATCCCAGCTTTTATGAAAATTTTTAACATAACTACGGATAATTTTCACTATATTTCTGTTGACCCGTTCCGCTATATTTGATTGCGGCCGATACGGGACCATTTTTAAATGACGTATGCCCAGTTTTTGGCACATGTCTTCAAATATATTACTTACAAATTGAGGACCATTATCCGATATAACTTTTAGGGGCGCCCCGTATTTTAAAATATATTTATTTAAAATAGAATCAGTAACTAATTTCGCGGAGGCTCGTTTTAAGGGAACAATTTCGGTCCATTTACTAAAATGATCAACCATAACAAGGAGATAGCGACTTTTATTTAACTGACTTTTTGGGAAAGGGCCCAATAAATCGATGCCAATTATTTCATTTGGAAATTCGGATTTAATACTATTTAGAAACCCGGCCGGGCGGAAATTAATATAATTAACGGCTTGACATGTTGGGCAGGACTGGACATACGCCCTTGTTAACTTTTGCAGTTCAGGAAAGTAGACTGCCTCGCGTACGCGTTGGATAGTTTTTCGAATACCAGCATGAGAAGCTAAAGGGCTGTCATGGAGCTCTTGCAGGATATTTAATCTAAGACTAGCTGGGATAACAGGTCGAAATTCGTTGTTGGAATTCGTAGTTTTTTGTATAAAATAATAGACCATCTATTAGTTCGTAATGGGCCGCCCTATTTCTTATCGCCACAATATCTTGGTGGCTAAAATTTTCAGGATCCTTCAAATACTCATAAATACTTCCAAACTCAGGATCCTTACCCAGTTCGGTTATTACAGTTTCTCGGGAATTTATTGTACACGCTGTCAGCATTGCAACTTTTACGGTATTACCCTGTTCGTCTAATTTAATTCGTGATAGGGCATCTGCTACGATATTTTCCTTTCCGGGGGTATGCTTGATTACCAGATTATATTCTTGCAGCTTGAGTGCCCATCTTATTAACCTTGGGGATAAATTTTTCCCTGAGTACAATCTAGTTACCGCCGCATGATCAGAATATACTGTTATCGGCGCCTTTCCAAAATAGACTCGGAACTTTTGCACTGCTAACAGAACTGCAAGTGCCTCTCTCTCGGTCGCGGAATAGTTTCTTTGTGTTTGATTTAAAGTTCGGCTAAAAAATGCCACGGGCTGCTGATTTTGCGAAAGTACCGCTCCTACCGCATAATCCGA